GATTCGTTTAAAAACGACTCATATACTGGTTTTAAAAAGCCTGGCTAGTTCCTTGATCCGATTTCACAGCATTTGCCCACAGGAGTTTTGCTGACGCAGCTTGAAGGAGTGGCGCAGCCTGGGTTCAGAGCAGGAACGTGCAGGGGATGATTGCCCCCAAGCCCAAACCGCTGCCCAGCCTTTCCGCCTGCGTAACCCCAGTGGATGGCAGGGAGCTGGGTGTACTCCTCCAGTGCCAATTCCACACCTGGCAAAAACACAGCGGTGCATCGGAGTCCCTTGGTGCCCCACAGCGTTGATGTGCCGACACCTTACTTGCCCCGTGCAAGCCCCAGCAGCCTTGTATTTACTAAGTGCTCATCCCAAGAGATCCATACCAGTTTACGGGCAACTCCTTCCCCTGGGACATCCCCGCCTTCCTTCACAAGCACGGCATCTCCTGAGGTACAAACGAAAATGCCAACTGCCACGCTGTTTTTATTACAAGCTTTAAACACCGAGTGCTCCCCTTCACTCAACACAGAACATTGCTGCCTCGTGTACGTATCTTACAATCTTGGGCTTTTTAAAAGCACGTTTGTAGAACTGTAGATTCATGTTGCGTAGAGGCAGTAGTCTCACGCAAGAGCAGCTCCAGAAGTTGCAAGCACGTGACAGCAGAAGGGGCAAAGATAAAACGAAATGCGTAACCCAGGGTGATCAATCTCTTACACATGTTCACTTTCAGGAAACGTACGCAGAGAGATAAAGTGCATGGCCACCATAAAATGCACAACCACCACTGCTTGCAGCAGTTACAAACCTTCCTTCAACAGAAAAACTGTACCATTTGCCCCTTGGAGCAATAAAGGGTACAATTCATCCCAAACTGACCAAGCCAAAGGATAGCAGAATGACCAACACTGGACAACAACAACAGCAGATGAGAGGGGGATGCAGCAGCTCTTTGGCAGGCCTCCCTCCCTTTTACATGTGCTCATGGTAGTAGAAACAGCATATACAAACTTTTTTTTTTTTTTTAACAGCATGCCTCATGGGGCTTCTGGTGCAAAGAATGTCTGCCTGCCGAGTTCGCACGAGGTTGGAGGCAGAGCACAAAATAAGAAAGAGAATAAGCAGTGAAGCAGTATCATTCCTTCAAGGTGAAAAGCACAGGCTAAAAATCTACAGTTTCCCATGGTTCAGATAGAGTGTATTTCTCAAGTTTCAAAACAAAAATATCTGAAAGCACTAAACACACCCAAAAGAACAAGTTACACACTACCACCCTCGTCCTTTCCCAAAAGGGGAAACTTTTCGGCCATTTAGTAGACTATGCCTGTATTGAAAAAGGTTATTTGACATTATCAAAAGTTTTGAAACTACAGACGAAATGCAGTTGGAAGGAAAAGCTACAAACACTGCGGATACCCATGTGTAAGGCCTAACAGGAACAAAGGCAAAAGAACGGCAAGTAATCTTCACTTAGATCTGCAGAAGGCAATGTGAATAAAATCACATCTCCACAGAGTATTTTTGGTGGGTAATACTTGTAAAAAGTTCTGTACAAATTATCATACAGATCAGAATTTAAAGAATTTGTGAGAGAACTGAAGAGCCATCAGTGAGCACAGAAGCACTGACACTGGCTATGAAACATAAAGGTGAGAGTTTCCATTTGACACAAAAGCTTACTTCGAGAAGAGGGTTTCTTTCCTGCTACAGACCTCATTTCTACCACAATAAAAATTAAAATCCCAGCACCATAGCAGCTGTCATCTTATATTCAACAATATAGACAGCAGTGCATGCAAAATAAAACAAGAGCCTGTAAACCTCTGGCAAATAATTAAAAAAAAAAACCCACACAACTCCTTGAAGATGAAAGGAACAGAGTAGCATAGTGACTATTTTGATTTTTTTCTTTTCAAAAACTGTCACTCCAGTATTATAACTGGAATGTCTGCCTAGCAATACAAGTTTTATAACAAACACACTAACTACAGATATGTACACTATGAGGCAAAAGTAGCCTTTAAATTGTGGGTTGAGATGTATAAAACACCACTGAAATTATTCATAGTTTGGACTGAGCTTTGTAAGATAAGGAGTCTGTTGATAACTTGCACATTGCCTTAAAAATTACAAATAATTAGCCTCTTAAGGACTTGGATTATACATTTCTACACAAAATGGATTTAAGAACTGACTTACTATAGCTTTACTTACTGTAGATCTAAAAGTTCTGGTTTTGTTTTCCTCATAGAAAGCCATACACATTACCCACTTTCCATATTTAATACCCAAATTCACCTGCCTAACAACTGAATGTACTTTTCACACCCCCCCCCCCCCCACCAATGACTAGGAGAAATGTGGTATCATTTTGACAACATTTTCATAATATAAAAATATAATGCTGAGAAGTCTGGAATTTATGCAGAGGCCCTTTCTGTAATTCGACCATTCGTTAACTCATTTTGATGTTTCTATGAATGCTTACTACAGCTCACCCAGAAGTGTTTAATGAAATTCGTCTAAGTCTAAATTCCAAAAATACTTACATTAAGATGTCACTGACAGTATCTCCCTATGATCCATAATCAGCTTCTTCGACTCCAAAATCAAAATTAGCTTCCATTTACAAAATACCTTTGGGAAAAACTGTTAATTGATCAGAGAATTCACACAGTATGCAACTAAATGCTTTCTGACAGAACAAGTTATGTTCAAATTGTAATGTTTTATTTACAATTGTAGTTTATAAACCGTAACACAAACATCTTTACATGAAAAAATCTCATTGCTGAAGTAGGCACAGAGTCAGAGACTCTTCAGCGTATCTTCAGAAGGAAGTAGGAAGAGGAAAATGTAATACAACTGCTGCTGGGCAAAACTATAAATACATAAGCCTTGGCCCAGGTGCAATTTCATGCAAATATTTTTACAGTTCAAGTTCTATTGGTGTTTACTAAGATACTAAGAAGAAGAAAAAAAAAAAAGAAAAAAAGAATTAGTTCCAGAATTAAGGTGCCCTAGCTTGATTCCTAGTAAAATAACTTAGAGTAACTGTTTTTTATAAAGGTCAGTTTAATTTATTTTACCTCTTGACAATGCACCAATTCACAGGTTTTGATTCAAATACTCAGAAGACTTGATGCAGCAAAGCTAATCCATACTATCTTTATTTCACAGTTTTTGGTAATTTCCACATCAGTCTACAAAGATGCTATGCCTTGGCCATAAGGACATTCCTGTACTGAGCTTTTTAACAAGAAAACCGTTCTTGGAACAAGTGGAAAGCTGCTGATAAACAATCACATAGTTGCCATCTCTTAAACATGAACTAATTTAGAAGATGTTAGTTAAACAAATATAAAGAAATTCTTGAATAAATGAAGGCAAGAGGTAATGAATACATTTATCACAGATATATAGCACTTTAATCTCTTCACTTTATTTGTGTGCGTTAATTTTCTTGCTGAACACACCTTCAATCAGCACATACTCAATCCTGTGCTGAATTGAAGGTTTTTAAATGTCTAATTATCATCTTTGACATTTTGTTTCTGCGGAGCAAGGTAACTTGTCTTCAACTGTCATATTCTGTCATGAAGCATTAACTTCAATTTCAGTGCACACACCCATCTTTCCAAGAGAAACAGCCTCAACATGTGAAATGCAAAATTTTGCATAATTAAAAAAATCACAACCTTGTAACTAAAAGCTTATTATGCCCAGTTCATTTTGGTATTCAAAAATACCCTCACCACCAATTCCAATTATTTAACCTAGTAGCAGAATAAGACTTTTTTAAAAGTTAATTTTACAAATTGCTTGCAATTTTTCCATTTATCTGCAGCCCAAGCTGGACTTAACCATTTTTAATGAGAAGGAACCAGTATTTCTAAGTTTTTTATCTGCTCTGCTCATAAACCTAAGTTTTAAATCAGTCCTTGATACTACCCAGTAGGCAAAATCAAATTTATAGACTGTAGGCAATGGAGACATCTTACTTTCAAGGGACAGTAATTTAAAACCCATTCTGTTTTCAACTGCTTCTCTGTATCTGGCAGTGCTTCATTTCTTTAATACACTTAATGCAAACCCAGCTGCATCTTCTCTTGCAAAGATCACTCACATTATGGTTGCATTAAAAGTGAAACAAACTGACCTTTATAATAAACATTTCTTCAAAACAAACAAACAAAAAAATTAAAATCCTGTTCAGAAATTGATAATAATTTACCCTATCTTAAGCCTGCTACTCAGGCACTCCCATCAGCAAATAGAAAAATCCTCTTAAGTTAGTATTCAGTTGGGCAACAGTCAGCTTGTGTCCACATACAGTATCTTGGTTGCTTCTTCTTTATAAACTGTTCTTTACAAAGTCTTTAGTTATTAACTCTCCAAGGCATCCAATACTTTCATGATCTGTTGTTTTATGGCTTTGGTCGCATCACCTGCATTTGGAATCAAATACCTTAAAAAAAGATTAGAAAAAGCTATCATTAATTCACTATAAAATTTTTGAGTATCAATTCCATAATTCTTGTTTTTATTTTTCCTCTGGCACAAACTAGGAGGAAGGAGGAGGGGAACGTATTAAAATGAAAAACTACTGAGAAAATAACATTTCCTGTTTATACTATGAAACACTTTCCACTTGTGCACTTAGAACAGTTGAGGAGTACTTCATAGGCCATCCTGGGAAGGAAAGGTTCTTCATTAATTAACAATGGTATAGATCAGACAGTTCAAGATCTCTACAGATAGCACTGTCCAACTGAAGCATGGCAGTCCCCCCCCCGCCCTTATTTTTTTTTTTAGTTCCTATAGATAGCTCTAGATCATTTACTTATGATCCTTTTTCTTCTGGATTTGTTCCAATCAACAAGGTGATGCTGAAGTAATTCAACAAGCAGCAAAGTTCTCTGCAAGATTTTAATTTATCTTTGACTGACTTACTACCAAATTAATTTAATTCTAAGCAGACAACAAGCAAACAACTTCCCTAGTTAGCTAGGAAACTCATCTCCCACTTCTTGTGAAAACAGAGCACCCACTGCACACAGTCCTCCCCCAAGGAAGAGGATGAGAAAATGTCCAGCTGGTGTCAGCAACTTTATTAAAACAGTGCCATGAAACAACAGGCTACACCAATGGAAAAAAGCCCAATACATCCATCCCTCTGACTGGGGGACAGTCTTAAGCATGCAAATGCTGAGCATGGCAATACCTAACTTTCAGGAACCGGGTTTCAGGGGTTTAGAGTTTTGAGGCTAGGCTTCTGTACTCCTCATACAATGTATAGGAAGAGTTAGAGGTCTCAAGAAAAGATACCACAGAAGAAAGACCACTCTCTTAAATCCCACTCTTCACAAATCCATACTTTAGGCTGCAAATAGTTGTCCACTTCATTTTCATTTAAGACTTATTACAAAAAGAGAACACTTGTACACATCCCATCCTCAACAACTGTCACTGCAGACCATGGAGTTCCTCTCTGCTGGGTCTTGTAAAGTCTCCGGCATTCTGCTGGCAGATCTTTTTTCTAGTTCACATTCAAACTATCTATTCCTAAATAAAAAAACATTACTTTTTAACTCAATTCTGGGAATTACAGCATGCCCCTGATATCCAGTTGACAGCATTCTATGTATCATTACCACTTACACCTCTGCTACTGAGATGGCTTACCTTTCAACTGCCAAAATTTCTATGCCCGAAGTATTGCTATTTCCATATTTAAAGGTGATTAGTTCTGGGTGTTTCTTCTTAGATGTGATTTTGACTACAGAGTTGAGTGCCTGTCGAGACTGTATGTAAGCCAGTCCCTTTCGTGATGGAATCTCTCTCAAACAGTACATATGAGTTGCCGTTACTAGGAGATGACTTGAAGGAAAAGAAAAATACAAATTAAATTTGCTATTGAACTAAGTATCAGCTATTTATAAAGCTAAATTCTACAAATGAGCTACATGGAGAGACCTAGAGAAAACAGTTCTCAATCTAAGAAACAATTTTAATGCTTTTTAAAATCTGTAATTTAGAAAGGTCTACAAAATACTTCAGACTTTCCTTGAGTACTGTATCATAGCCATTTTTGAAAACAAGCATGGGATCCTCAACAGCATACAAAACCAGAATGAGCAGTTAACATCACCACCTCAACACAACAGCCATGTGTGCTATCAACAAAGATCACAACCACCAGTAATGTGTGTCTCTCTCATCTTTTAATCATACCCCAACCCCGTGCCTCCACCTATAGAGCGGCAACTCTACATGTGGAGCATCAGACCTAAGTTAAAAGGACGTGCCGGGACTCCATGGCTGTCAATCACTGTACAAGTCCTAATGTGGAGACGCTGATGTGCCAGCTCAGTTCAAGACCCACTTTTGCCTTCTTCATTGGAGGAATGCATGTTCAACTAGTGGTCGGAATACACTAGTTGAGTTCCAACTCAGTTTGAGAAATCATACTATGACAGATTACTAATCATACACCATATAAAATAAATCTAATGTGACAATAAAATTAATAATAAAAGACAAGAACAGACCATGATGCAAGAGAAAGCCCATCAACATTTTCTGTTATCCAGATTCAGTAGGATTTGTACTCTTCGGTGAAGCCAAAATACAGCAAGCATCATGTTTTGCTCTTGCAGGATTAACAAGGTCACTGAATCTTAGGGGCAAGATGGGTGCACAGTACAAGACACGGAGACAAGTAGACTGGAAAAGCCAAAAGCACAGGTACTTGGGTCTACCTGGTCTTGAAAAATAAGCCTATGTATACTGAGAATATTTTTCTTCCTATCTTGTTTTATACTAGGTTTTGTACATAATTACCATTCTATAACACTGCAAATACAAGAATGCAAATATAGTGGTAACATTTTGTTCCAGGCTGTTTTTCACCTTCATTTCCTAGTTCAATATCAAGAGTAACTTAATTGCCCAATTTTTTTTTTTTTAATGTGTATCAAGACATTTTCATTAAGCTTAGGACTAATTCCAGTACCTGGGAAACATATGTCCATTTTCCTTCACTTCATTACAGGGGAAGTTATACTTCACATCAGGTTTATTTATCCATGTTTGGATGTTGACGACCTCTTTTCGATCATCATCTGACATTGAGGAGCTATCAATTTCATCTATTTTGAAGGGAGGGGGTGAAAAGAAAAAAGAAAAGATTTTCATACAACATCAGACAACTTTTCAACTCACTTAAACCCATAGTAGCTACACTGGTTCAAACCAAGGTCCATCTAGCCATAAACAACTGTTCAGAGGGAAGAAAGAAAGAGGCATGCATATCTGATATCTCTCTTCTAATTCTCTTTCAGCAGACAACTATTTTCAGCTCAGAGGATTTATTAGGCCGGCCTGATTTGTCCATTCAGTAAAGTTTAATAGATCTCTTCTACATTAACTTGTCCAGACTTTCCTTGAAGCCATGTAAACTTTTTGCATCCACAACACAAATATCTTTTGGCAAGGAGTACCAAAAACATGTCAACTACATTCCAGGAAAGCCTCCTTCTGCGGCTTCTAGTTTCTCGTAAGTATCTGTTGATCCCTTTCCAGGCCATGCATTATTTCTGTGGGCCACTTTTCCTCCCTTAAATTGCCTGTTTCACATAACAAAAGTTCTAATATTCAGTTACGCCTGCTGTGAAAGCCACTTCACATCCTTCCTCATCCTTCTTATCCCTCTCTGAACCTCTTCAAACATATTGTTTCTGAGGTAGAGGATCAAGACAGACAATACTCAATGTGTGGGTAAACCATAGGTTTATACAGTGACATAATGACCTGTTTTATTCTCTGTTCCTTTCCTTATACTTCCTAGCATTTGATTTACTTTTCTGACTGCTAATGAGCGCTTACTTACTACAAACCTACTGCTCCTGGACACAGCCAAATCAGTCTACCATTTTGTATCTGAAACTAGAACTGTTTTTTTTTCCTATGTCTTTCTTGCCTCACATGAAATTCATACTGAATTCATACTGAATTTCATGTGCCATTTTATTGCCCAGTTACTTAGACTAGCAAAAGACACCTTCAATTCTTGAGTCTGTCTTTACCACCTCGAACAATCTTGGATCATTAGCAAAAATTGTTGCCTTTGGGTTGACCTCCTTTTCTAAGGACATTTAAGAACATACTCAAACCCAAAAATTTTCAGCACAGACTTCTGTGAAACACCCAAAACTATTGCAAGTGTTATCACTTAGTTGCATAATACTGTTTTTCTGTCTAAATATGGTGATTATCTTTAGATAGTAATTTTGGTGCTACATTAGAAGAATTTAAGCAATCTATTTATCTAAAACAATGTACTATGTTAAGTCCATAGAAAATACTCCCAGAAATAACTTTGAAGGACACGCCTTTAAAGTGTCTTTTTCAAAGACAGTTTTCTACACTTTGTTAAACTTTGTTAAATTTCAAAGCAATTCAGAATTCTAGCTAGACTTTTGAAAAGGTTTTCACCAAAAAAACACATTATGAAATTCAACAGAACGGAACAAAATGCATCCTCATTTCACACAATCAGAATGGTTGAGGATGGAAGGGACCTCTGGAGGTCATCTGGTCCAACTCTCCTACTCGAGCAGGGCCACCTAGAGCAGGTTCCAGTTATTATAGCTGACTGCAATTACTTACTATGAAAAACCCATTAAAACTTCACAAAAACAATTATACAGAAAGAGGTTCACTTTTTCCATTCTTCTGTACCAAAACATTTATTTCACTTCCTATGTGTTGACTTTGCTTACTTACTAAGTCTAATAGTGCCTTTAAAAGCAAATGTAAATAGAAATTAGCAAACAACCATGTTTTTTAGAACAAAATATGTTCTAGACAATTTGTCTTTGAGAGCCTGGTTTTCTGAAACCACACAGACTTTGTGAAACACTATTATGGATGCCCAAAGAACTGTGCAAACTTAATTACATGGCATCTGGAGAAGTATCTTGTTAGTGTTAAAGCTTCTGCCTGATAATTTCATTTTGCTCCTTCCCAATTCTTACAGCAGACAAACCATGATCAACTGTTTGTCATCAATCTTACTTAAACAACTCCTGATCCTATGAACCTCTTTCATTAAACTTCCTAAATTATTTCTTTTGCTGGTCAAAGATTAGTCTAGTTATTTGTTTCTCACATGGAAGCTGAGTATGCCTTTTGGTCACAGAATGGTTACTTGTGAGATGATGATGGTTGGGAGTGAGGTAACACTACCAAAAGAAAACCAGGACAGCAGTAGATCTGCACCATTCTAACGTTAGCATTGGTCTCAAAAAAACCCCACCACCTTTGTGAAAAGTATGGTGTTTCAATTTTTCCTGTAATTTTTCAACTAGATAAAAAAATTAAATTAAAATTGCACTTTTTTTCCTACAGCATGCATATTAAAGATGAATCAATTATTAATAGATTCAATGCTAAAAAGCAAAGTTCAAAACACTGGAGAGGTGTGTACACATTAGCCATGTTAAGTTTAGCTCCAACTGTATTTTCAGGAATTGATATTGTTACACTGACTGCCAATACTAGAGATTCAACCTGAGATCTATCAGCCAAACTAGGTCCTTTACATTTTGCTTACTGTCGTGAGTAATAGCGGTACAATTGCAGGCTTACACATACAAGACCAGTGTAGAAAAACAGATCTTTACTACAGAAATAACAAGTGAACACAAATGATCCACTAAACTCATCTATTTCCATTTCATCCTGTTGGCTGTTTGGTGCCTACCACAAAATCTTTTTTATTTAGTCTGCTACTATGTATTTGAAAATACGGTTGGTTGGTCCTAGACACCACCGTAACAAACACAACCAACGGTAACAGTTAGAAAAATGTCACACTGTAAGACAAAAATGTCAAATACACTCTTATGATTTAGCCAAACTTAATAATTTTGTTTAAGTAAGCTAATCTAGGTAAGAGCAAAATCTTCTACTGTACCAGTATCGTATTCTTCTTCATCTCCGATGCTGAACACTGGTTTCACACCACGGTAGGGTTTTCCTACTCTGTCACTGCTGCTGACATGTCTGTTGGCAATGAAAAGGGCAGAAGAGGACATGGGATGGGAGAAGGAAAGTAATTTTCAAACTGATGGTATGACTCCTACAATAACATATTAGCAAAATGTGTGACATTTTGTGACAATTAGCACACAACTGTGCAACTGAGAAGGACAAGAGAATTTCATGAAGCTGCCTGCAAGGAAGCTGTGATTGACCCAACAAGCAATTTGGTTAGTGCAAGCATGTATTTCAGTTACTTGGCAAGGGTGCTGTTGTAAAAAATAAAAGTAAAAAGAAATACTTCTTTGTTTTAAAAAGAACTTCTGGTCACCTTCTCAAATGACAAAATACATTAGAGACCTGAAAACTGACAACATGCTATGAATTTTCTAGCATGAAACGGAAATATTTCTGGACAGTCAGTGCAGCACTACTAGGATGCCAAATCAGGATGGAGAAAAAAAAAAATGAAGACTATTAACTAACATGTCTGGAAGCTCATTTTCTGGTTAATTCCTCAAAAGATAACAAAATACCTTAAGCACTTCAAAGTGGGGTTATTATAAACCATACACTCTAGCGTGAACTCTGACTTCCTGTCCATTACCTTCTCCAGCATGAACCAAATCCTGAAATCCTTGGTCAAGCAATTCCTACTGCTAAAATCCCAGCATCACTGGTATTTCTGTATAGATATTGACCTCAGAAATCATACCTAAGTCTATTTCTACAGATCATATTAAATGACGCAAAACACACACAACTGAGTCTTAATGTTTGACAGTAGTAGTTGCAAATCATGAGATATTTTAAAGCTCCAGCTCAGAGTACTGTTATTACATGGTCACAGCTGTCATGTTAAAAGTCCTGGCCCTCAACTACTGAGAATACCTGAAATATATGAGGAAACGTAAAGGTACAGAAAGCCTTTTTATTACAAAAAATACAAAAGCCTTATATTACAAAATAGGTAATTGCTGAAAAAAATAACAGTTCATGATTTTAGCTTTTAGAACTGGCAACATGTAGTAGTTTAAAAAAAAACAAAACCAGAATACGCTTGCCTCTTTCCCCCATTTCAATTTCTATAAACTCCCTCCCCATAATATGTATTCATATTTCCTATAAAACTATAAGCCCTGGTTCCTCTTTTAAGTATATTCACAAACTCCAGTTCACATGCTACTATAGAACCAAGTTGGAGAGGCAACCTTTTTAGTAATACATAAAAGAATGTTAGTACTTATGTATTCCTGAAAGCATATTTGAAAGCTAAAAAAAGAAACCTGTTTTCTATGGCTAAATTTACTAATGTAGAAAAACCAAGGAAATGTTCAACAGGAAAAAAACCCCAAAACAACAGAAATGCATTCTGCAATGAAACAAGAAATAAACATAGAAAAACATGCTCACTAGTGTTTAAGACAATAAGCATCAATGACACTGACAATTCAAGAGGGCAGTGCTTCTATATGGAGGCTTTTACATAACCAATTGCGTAAGAAGCAGCACATTTAAATAGTGTCAAATTGAATTACACAGAGAGGATTTAAGAGAAGATCTCACTGGTGTTTATAGATAAACTTAGTCAAGAGAAGAGAAAGTACAAAGCTACTTTATAAAAAGCTGGTAACATCTTAAACTAGAAATGGACTTCCTTTAATCTGTTTGCATGGAAGGCCATCATTAAATTGTTACAAATTGAATGCAATTCCCTTTAGTGGCAAACCTGCAAAATGAAATATATTGGTGATAAAAACAAAGTGGATCTAATTGGATGGATGGGAAAAGAATGCCATTCCAGGTTTTTAAGAGCTGCAAATTTAAGAGGATAGTCTAGTGATCCATAGTGTGAGCAAATTTATTATTGCATCTTCCCAATAAAAGGAGATAAGCAATATGAGTGAAAGGAACAAGTAAAACAACTGAAGTATAATCTCAATATATCAAAACTTCTTGGTTACAAATACAGATTCAAGTGTCTTTCAGTTATTGAACACAGTCACCGAGTGTTTTAAGTTGGAATTTTAACAGTTTCTTACCATATTCTAAAATGTGATCAACAACAAGTGGGGGAAAATCCCCATGATCTTTAAGATTTCTAAATTAACAAAATATATTATGTGCTATTGGGATATTCCCACTTTTTTTTTTTTTTAAAGAATGCTGGTTAACATTACTATGGGTTTTGCTCACACACCACCATTCTGTAATGCTTATGGTTAAATCCTATCTCAAATTATGTGCAAAATACTTGAAAGAAGAATTGGTCCAAAATCCTTGAAAACCCAAACAGCATTTTAAATCTTCAGTAACTCTTCCAGCACCGATCTTCACGCTTTTCAGTCTATGTGGGTCCAAAGCTACAACAGAGTTCCTAAAGTATAACCAAAGTTCCAAAGTGATTATGCATGAGCTGTTCTTCAGTTATGACAAGTAATTTCATATAACCTCAATTCACAATCTTTATTTCTGAAATAATTATAAGGCAATAAATCTGAGACAAATGTGAAGGGACTCTACGTCTGTGTGAAACGCAGTAGTTATGTGAACAAGATGAGGGAGAGATGCAAGGCATATTTACTTATTAACTCAGTATTTTTCTTTTCCCAGTAATGAGCACCTCTGTTTCTATCAGCATGTTCTATCATCATGTGATGAGAAGCATAAACATTCCAGATTTCCAGATAGAATTTCCATATGGGTTCCCTGTTACATCTAAGCTCTGGTGATGCCTTATAAATTTATATGCCTATAAAAGGCCTTTTTTTAAAAGGCCTTTTCATAGTTGTAGTCTCTCTTGTTAAAACCTTAAGTCATAATTTGTTCAGTAATTGCTCCTGGTGTCTTTCACTAGTACCAGTCACTAATAAAATGTATACAAGAAATTACAAGTAAAAAAAAGTTCCATAAAGAGTAATAGTAAGGACGAGAACAGAAATAAAGCAGAAACTAAGAGAAGAAAGCACTACCTATACATTCTTTTTCTTCCTCTAGTCCCCTGACCAGTACTTGTAAAAAACAATAGCTTTAATACATTAAAAAAAATTAATATAAAAATATGTGAGCAAATTTGTCAGTGTAACCAATGCTTACAAATATTGTGATGCCATGCTAAATACAACAAAGGTGGTTTTAGTCAGACTACTTAATTATCAAGCTTACCGCTCCAGGCTTGCTCTGTCTGGCCAGGGAATATTGAAAGGTATTCTATAGCACATTGGGGCAGAGGACAGAACAAAAGAATTAAAAAAAAAAAGTTTAAAGGAAAAGTCTAGATAAAGAATTGAAATGCTCTATATTGGCAATGTATCTTCTTCAAGGAGGATGCTGATAAATAAAGGCAATGCTCCATGACAGCGAACCACAAGATAGAGAAATATTTGTAAAAATTCTACTAAAAGATGCATTGCTTCCACGGCTTACATACAAACCTTACTTGAAGTCTTCACGCAACAAAAGCTACTACCAAGTGATATTTAAGAGTTTTTTGCCTCTAATTGTGAAATAGTAATAATAATAATAATAATAATAATAAAAAAATCATTTTTCAACACAAAAAGAAGCTGAAATCTGTACCTTTTGACTAGGTACAAGACAATATACTAAGAACTACTGTTAGATTAGCACATATTTTAAATCCTGCTATCAAACAAACACTAGTTCTGTAAGACTCTTGTATACCACTGTCTTAGCAACATGCAACTCCAAAGGCTGCATTTTAAAGAACTCTAAAGCAGGCTATCTAATTAAAGTTTTGACAGATGAAAGCTGTTAATACTTTTACCTAGTTAAGATAAGTGTTTGGAATGATGACTTCCAATTTTGAAAGTGTCTTTTAACATGTTTGCACATTCTTGTTCCAAGCTCAACTTGAATATACAAAAAAATGAACAAGAGTAGCTTCTGGGTTTGAAAAGCAGCTTTACAGCAGCACTTGAAAAATCAAGCTCTTCTAAAAAGTTAACCTCCACTTGACAAGATGGGGCATTAAAAAAACAACAAAACCAACCAACCAAAAAACCCTGTCCAGAATCCAATAAAAGTGAAATCATTCTTGACTTTCAGACTGAATACAGAACTGACATATAAGTCAAATTAACCATGCAGTGACAAATTCTAGATAAACATTCAAGAGAAAAGGCTGCTCACACTGGCCTTGCAATACTAAGGCAGCACAGTAGGCTTACCGTGTCATGATAAAATTGTGAGGAGAGTAGGGCTAGGAAATCTAAAAGCTGAAACTGGAAGATAACTTTTTTCCTAATTAGCACAGTCTTCCTATTTACCAAGTAGCCACCTGAAATGGGAAGTCATTCCTCACTCCTAATTCACAGTGAGATATAAATGATGTACCTGTCTACTGGAGTAGATGTATTTTCAATAAAACTAATGACTTTTTCTTTCACGTTCACAGATTTAGTCTTCAAAGCAACCGTCATTTTATTCACCAGGGACTTTACTCCTTTTCCATCACTTGAACCATTAGGAGAATCACCCTGTAAAAGTAACTCCTCTCAGGATTAATCATATAAAAATAATGTTATTTCATCTCTAGTTTGTTAAGAAAGAAAACAGACTACAAAATAGTAATGTACTTTTTGATACTCATTAGAACATTAATTACAGCCTTAAGTATTCTTTGAGAGTTCTATCAAATGATGGCAACGATAGGTGTCTGAGGTAAAGATGATCCAATAATGCAAGCTTAACAAATATTATTACTGAGCATTCTCCTATGAAAATCTAGAGGAAGAAATTCTATTAATGATAAATTGTATCCAAATTAAAAGCCAAATTCTACACACAACATATCAGCTGTAGAAAAGAGACAATTTTGAGCTTTCCCATGAAACTGTATGCCAGTTTTATAATAATTTATTCCCCGATTGAGAAGAGCCAGGAAAAGATCTATCCATTACATAAATTCTGCTGGAGAATGACTACAGCAAGTCCTTTTCTACAAGTTCTTCCTCTCAAGAGGATTAAAAATGTTTAGGTCACCTCCAACGAGACAGTGAATATAGTTTGAAATTAAACACCCAACTGAAAACAATCATGACTTGCAGTAACACATTTTACAGAACAGAATGAGGAATATGAAGAAAAAATTCAGTACACCTGGGGCTCCCATCCCACTATACCACCTGAGCTTAAAGTTCACTTACATCAACAGAGGAATTTATGCTACTTCTTGAGCCAGACGTACTAGCAATCCAGTGGCCATATCCATTTTCTGGTCCTTCCACATTGATATCTGCTAAGTGCTGCTGAAGGGCTGTTAAAAGGTCATTAAAAAACATTCAGAACTACACTGCAATTAGTCTGTTGGTGAAAATACTGCATATCCAAGACTAATCAGTAAAAATTTTTGCTCCAAATTATTTTCTTTCAGTAGTACAAAGGCATTAGGAGAATCCTTATTTTAGTAAAGAAATCAGTTAAAATACAGCAGCAACTAAAAATAAATCACTGCTTTGATCCTAAAGATAGCTGTTACGACACTGCACATATTGACTAGTAATGCCTCTATACTCATATTGTAGCACAGATATCTCCACTGTCGTAGAGCTTGATTGATTCCAGCAACGTAAACTGTACAATCATGAACTGATGATTTAAGAAAACATGACAATTAATAGCAATTATGAAGTACCATCTTCATACAGACCAGCGATCTACAGAGGCTAAACATCAAGAATGACAAGTAAGAAGAAAGAGGGAATTTCCCCACTTCCTGTATTAATTTTTCACCATTCAGAAACATGGGTAAGCCGTAACAGTTAACCACAGAAGTGCAAGTGCACAATGTTGACTTTCACAGAACAAAAACCTGACAAATGAGACATATTTGCTATTCGTTTAGCTGATTTATAGCCAAAGCCTAATAAAAATAGCAACAGCATTAAGGTACCAAGTTTTCTCAAGCCAAAGCTTTATTAATAAGCATTATTAATAAGCTTACCCATAAATCCTCCTTTGGCAATGCTTACATACTCTTTGTTTTTCTGCAACAGAAAACACATTTTTAATTGAAGTATCTGTGGAATTAGTTTTGCAAGCACAGTAATGAAACATGGGTTAATTTCATAAAAACTGTAAACTTGAGTAATTTAAAAAACAGTTAAGATTTTAAGGGGAAAATATTTTGCCATTTAATATCAATGATGTGTGCAAACACTTTATTTCAGCTATTCAAATCAACAGCAATTTAATTGTACCTGTAAAAAGTGTGCTAGCACCATGTTCATATACATATCTTCTTCTTCCCTGCCACTTCCCATGAAGCAGAGATGTTCCCCACCAGCTATGGAGCCAGACTCAATAGACTGTTTTTGTGCTTCCAATAAGGATTTTACAGACTGTGCAAATTCTGATGGGTTTTGAAGCATCTGTGGAACAAACAAGCAAAAAGTGCTGTTGGACACCAACACAGTATAACACAACTTGTGAAAAGATACAAACTTTGAAAACGGTTATAATTTGTTGAGCACAAATAAGGCAACATCACCACTATAGAAGACACACACACACAAAAAAGACAGGCTGACCCAGACCTCATGTTATGTAAAGAGCACTAAGAATGGTCCTTTTCTTCCTCACTCCACCTTGCTCTCCCCAGGAAAGAAATGCAGCTAAAATTTGTTAGTTTATTTTTGCAGACACCACATAATAGTAGAGAAAGTTTTTTAAACCTTCATGTTGCATTAAGTTGGCAATATGGCAGAGGGGCTGATTTCCATATTTTCATACGCTTGAGCACAACATGTTCAAACATTGCAGTTTTGAAAACCTTTAAATACCTAGAATTTCCAGGTGCCAGTAAGGTCCTCCTCTTGTTGTTTCCCTGCTAAGCTTTTCCTCATTTACTTCTCAAGATTTGGAAAAAAAATTACAATCAGGAGTACAAAGGAGATACCTGGGATTCTTAGTACTCTCAAAAACATAAGGCTGTGGTCTCCTGAAGGCCTATTGTGCATACAAAAACAATGAGCTGCTACATGAAAGATATGGAGAAATGACAACTTTCTAAACACAGATGAAATTTTAACCTGCTTTTGTGGGGAAGGCACTTAAATTAATAAGGAAATATTGACCTGTAACTGGATTGAGGTGGGGGGGGAATTCTCATTATCTAGCCTTTACACTTGATTAAATGATGAAGTACAAAGTAACACATACACAACCTAGACAGACTAGTCATCAGTAAGTCAACTTGAATTTTAACTGCAGTTTTTCTAGAGCCAAATGCTGTTGCTTTATTACGTAGGTGCTAAATTTCACAACTTCCTCTACCTAATGACTACCTATAAACGAGATGGATTCCCAAGTGCTTTCCCCATTGCCTCCCCTTAAAGTAAATTGTGTGTATTCCATACATACGCGCGTAAAAAATGCACTCAAGTTCCATCAATGGCTTTTCAACTCAAAGATTATTCCTTACAATGTTTTCCTGGCATTAATGTTCTAAAAACAGAGACGAGCCTGGTGACATTCATCCATCATGGTTCATGAAGGACCTCAACCATACCAACTGACACACACTACAGAAGTTAATTCCAATACATAACTTAAATACATACGAACTAATCACATTCAATGTAATTGTCTTCAATGGACTTCTTTTTCATGTATTACTAGGTTTTTAAACTATTTAATAACTTATAATGCTTAGTCCTACTTTATTGAATACGATGTTCAATTAAGGCTGGCAGAAGGACACTCACATACCATGGGGAAAGTTTTTTCCTAAATAATTGTTTTAATCTAGGTTAAAACCCAGAACACTGTATCATAGAATCATAGTATCATTTAGGTTGGGGAAAAAAAAAAATCATTTAGGTCTCTTAAGATCATCAAGTCCAACTGTTAACCAATCACTGCCAAGTATGCCACTAAGCCATGTCCCTAAGTGCCATGTCTATATGTCTTTTAAATACCTCCAGGGATGGTGACTCCACCACTTCTCTGGGCAGCCTGTTCCAATGCTTGACAACCCTCTCGGTGAAGAAATTTTTCCTAATATCCAATCTAAACCTCCCCTGGTGCAACTTGAGGCCATTTCCTCTTGTCCTATCAATTGCTACTTGGGAGAAGAGACCAACACCCACCTCAGTACAACCCCCTTTCAGGTAGTTGTAGAGAGCACTAAGATCTCCCCTCAGCCTCCTTTTCTCTCCTGTATAATTATACTTCACAGAATAACAAGAATCACATTACTTGTGCAAATAATACTGAATAATACTTCAATTTAATCAGAGAGGTAAAGATAATAGATGCAGGACTGAGCTTCTTAACTAAGAAAGGTAAAAAAAAAACTTTTATGGGGTATATACATAGAAATCATTCCATGTAGCATCTGTAGACTCCTTGAAGTGAAATAATGGAGCGTTAATCTAGAAGGGAAGAATACACTGTGAGCCAGCTGAAGCCCAAGTGATTTGTGGAAAAAAGGTCAAAGAAAAATATGACTGAGTGTCCAGTTAGGAATTCGTAATCAAATGGAAACTACAGCAAGACCTTTACTGAAGTAATTAGTTCATAGTACACCTCAGTCCCAAAATTAATGCACTTCCTCTCTCATATTGTACTGCAAAAATTTTAAAGGAGCAACCAAATCCTCTTCAAGAAGTACGTTCCTTACAATCAGGCTGTAGTAAGACTGGCTGGCGAGAAAAAAAAAAAAAGCTATTTGTTAAAATTTATGGCATCTTTCTTTAGAAATTATGATGCTAAAAAGAGATTTCTCCTACAAACAATGTCTAGGTCTTTAGCCTGTATGGGTTTCCAGTTCTAAGCAAAGAACAGGAAGTCTGGAATCCCAAATTCTAGTGTCATTAAGGACTAAAATTCTCAGCAAAATGATGGTTCCAATCCCCTTCAGAGAAGCTAACTTTTGAAACTTTATCACATAGCTAGACACTGCAGCCCACAGACTAGAGTCTAAACTAAGGATAATTTATTTTTCAAGACAGACATTTCTCTCTCCTTCTATTTAACTTAGGATTCAAAAACCAGTAAAGAAACAAAAAGCATACGAACCAAATCAGAGTCTAAATGAAATGCTGTTGATAAATGTCCAGCATTGTATTGCTCTGCAGGACGACAATCCACTACAAAGAACCTTACTCCTTCCTGAAAGAGAAAGATTTTTGCCCATTACAAAATTTAAAAATTGTATAATTATTAATAGGAAATACATAATCCAATTATATTTTAATACTAATTCCAATACTACAGGAACCCCTCAAAGGGGCTAACAACTATCGCAAAATCTTATTTCATTTGATTAATCTGAACTTCTACAGCTACCAGACCACCAACAGTATTCCCATAGTGATTTCCCATTAATACATCAGCTTGCACATTGGAAAGGATCACCCAAGTGCAATACTCACAGTGTAACTATTTCAACTCTACTGAGAGGAAGTCTAGTGAGTATGAGGGCACACATCAACAAGACATCAGAAGTGACAACTTTGAAATCCCAATCCAACAGTCCATTACTACTCGCCATAGCACAGAAGAATAGCTTTATATCCCACCGACTTAAACAGGATAGAAAGAGATGCTTAACTTTACTTGGACTAGGAAAAAAAAAAGTATGCATGATGAAACTGGGGCCTGGAAACTACTACAAAAAGTCAGTAATCAATAAAAAACACTGTAATCTAGCTACACCATTATCCATATATTGGTCTTAAATACTTCTAAGTGAAGTCCCTGCATCTAAGTACATCTGCAATTAACTACTACAGAAATAGCTTGAATAATTTTTTTGTTTGTTTAAACATTTCATTGACAAGTGAAAGACATTTTAAAATGGCATACTTGTCAAAGGTACTGAGCAGTGGGTTTTAAATTTTCCTCTACGATAGCTACCTTTGGAAAGGAATTCAAATTAGTGAGATATTGCTTTAAGCTCACACTCCGCAGATTCAAATCAGCTATATTAAGCTCTCCTGTGCTGTAGCTCTAGTTGCTACAGAACAAATGCACTGCAGTCAGAAGATCATTTACAAGGGAGACAACTTCAAGACAAAAATACTTTTTCCTGAAATAGCAAATATTCATGTGTTGTTAGCACTTAAAAATATTTGTGATACACAAAGTAGTAAGTGATTCTTCTCCTTTGCTATAAAATTGGGGAAGAAAAAAAGAGGAATTCAGTATACTGACGCCTTGTTGCTGATTTGCTTGAAGAATCTCAGACACAGAAACTGCTAGACAGAGAGCCTGGCTCAAGTCTGTCTCATCATCCTTGAGGCCCAGCAAGCTGCTGCCAAAAAGACTGTGGTTGTCCTAATAAGGCAAGAGGGGAAAAAAAAAATTAACTAAACCCATTGCCTTTAGATGCGAAGGGTTAAAGTAAAACTATATCCACCATGTCACAAACATTAAGCCCGATACACACATATCTTCTCCACATAGTCATCAAATTTTTGATCAACTGAAATTCTTTCTGAAAATGATGGCAAGGCTTGAACTTGCATTACAAACATGATTGTTCACCACTCTGACCATGGCAACGTGATGAAATACCTTTGGTTTTTGTTTTTCAGTTGCGTTTTTTTGTGGGTTTGGTTTTTTTTCCCCAAAAAAATCTCACATACCTGCCTACACACACCAGAGAACTTACATACAAGCCAAAGGCAATGACTCTCAAGTACTTTTGTTTCACAAATTCACTGGTCAGATACCTTAAGTAAGGAAGAACTGCAAGAACAGTGCAGGTGATGACAGCTTTCTCTCTAGTAACTGACTTTTTCCTGTTTGCTGTTGCAAGTACAGCTAGGACTGCTATGCAGTCCACTACAATGCAATTGTGTCAGTATGGCATTTTTGCTTCATCAGTTCTTACAAGAACCCGGTTTGCAAAACAAGGTAATCAGTCATGAAGCGAGAATATTGCAGGGAAGCTTCTCTCTAACATGTTTCGTTAAGTAACATTGTTATTTTTCAAAGATCCTAACAATAAACACCACCGTAATAAGAACATGCAAAAATGCTTAAAAAACCATCACAATGAAATCTTCGAAGTTACTGTCAGCAGGAGCTTAAAGAGTCACCAAAAAGCAAAGAATTTCAAAATCACTTTGTTATTACCTTCCTGAAAGAAGCTGGAGTTTTGCTACAGTAATATTGTGCCAAAGAGAAGAGATCTTCTATATCCTCTAAATCGAGATTGGCTGGTGAAGTTTCTAAGAATTCTGAGATACACAAACAACATAAGTGCACTTTCATTTCAGATATAGAAAAGAAGCACCACAGATCTTTTCACATCATAAAATAACTTATTTTTAATAAGGCATAAAACAATTGAGTTTATTGCTTAAACATAAATATTGATTCACTCTCCAGGTGGAAAGGGAAGATACAGGAAGTATTCCTTATCCATCGGAAACCTATGCTATTTGCTGAAAGTTCAAAACTTCTACACAAATTACTTTTCACCACACCCTTACTTCTGTATTGTTCTAGCTTTCAGTTGTAATACTAAGTCATCTGCCTTTTTTAAAGAGGGCTGACCAATAGAATACTCTAAAACAGAGTACAGTAGTGCTATTATATGTCCAGGATGGTACAAGGGTGTAGTTCTGCAGTATGTGGCAAAGACGTAAAATTCCAAGCACCTGCATTTTTAACTACTAGGAGATTATTAATTATATTGTATTATGCAATATAAAAAAATACAAAGACAGAAGAAATAGGCTCACAAGAAACTTAGTGTAATTTCTATAAAAACAGAAGAGGGTAAGACAAGAATAATGAATTGGGCTCCAATCAAGTGCATACAAAGATAATAATCTGTAAAATGCAACAAGTGCAGTAGTTTTAAAGAAGGATTTGAAGGCTGCTGCTTTGGGCTTAGAAACATGGTGATTGTTTCAAGTACTCCAAACTGAAGTATAAAACTAGGTGTGGGAGTGCTGAAAGGAAACACAAGAAAGAATGTTAAGGACAGGGCAAATGTGATGCAGCAAAAGCACAGTAAGAAGGGAATTAGTGAGTAGAGGGGATTCATTAATGAGAAAATCACAGAGAAATAATTAAATAATTCAGGCATTTAGTCATTACAAATAATCAATGGGGTTTATGCTATATGGTAAATATTTCACTAGCAGCAATATAAGAGAAGTACTTACTTATCATTTCTTCTTTATCAGATTCTTGTGCTAAGATAACGTCTCTGAAAACAGTAAAGTCACGGCATAGATTAAGTCAGTAAAACCGAAATGAAACAAAAGTGGATTAAAACTGTGTCAGCAAGGAATGTCCCAAACAATTAACTATACACTTACTTTGCATTGACAAGGATGATTAACATCAAGAAATAAATAAAGAATGGATCTGCTTGTTGTAGATATCCATCCCATATTGCTTGAGTGACTTCAGCTGAACAGTAATATGAAAAGAGGCTTCCAAGCTAAAAATTTGGAAAATAGTGTGAGAAAAAAAGCAATAGCCAGGAACAATCTTATCAAGATAACATTTTTAACAAAGAGACAAGATATCTAAAGGAAAATAAAAAGACAAAATTATGTTAAAACATACATTTGCACCACGTATTGAAGGATGGTTCTACCCTCAAAAGCAAGTTTTATGGAAACAGTGAAGTAATGCTACAGATTATCTGTGAACAAGTATGCCCAGTGTGAAGGCAAACTCAGCTGTACATTGTCAGCCTTGCAAATTCAACCAGGGATAACAAAATCAGGCTGGAATACTGTTTTGCTCATGGCCACTGCTAAATACCAATTATACCAACAAGACAATAATAAGAGAATATATTTAAGCAACTAGCTTAGCAAAAAGGACTTTGAAAGGATTCTGTAAACAACATTATTCTTATTTTTCACAGTAGAACTAAGCTATTGGAACATGGCTGCACATTAGTTTGACAAGTATGATGCTTTATGGCTGATTAATTAAACATTTGGAAGCAACAGAAAACTTTCATTACCATTTAACAAACTGTTTGCCTGTTCTCATGTTCCCATTTAAAAACACATCCTCTCTGAAATGCAAAATTCAAAGGGGATAAAAGAAAAGGTAGGAACTTCTTTTCATACGTGCCAGATAATATTTGCAATCACACCTAACTCAAATGCATACGAGCTGGCTTCACTGGGGTCTTACTGAACTTGCTGGTGCATAAAAACTCTGTATCAAAAGAGCTACAGCTTTCAAAAGCTCAGTATCTGTTTTTAAACACTATCACGGAATATTTCAGCACTTCCTAGTACATTTTTATAACAACAGGTAAAAAGATCTATCAAATTGAGTCAAACGCAACTGATGACAAAATGTCCCTGAACGAGGCCACGGCAGGTCTCTGAATGCTACTTAGGTATTTCTACACATGAGAAATACCTCTGCATAGACTAAAATTTTTTCACAGAATAAACAAGGAATTTTAATGTTAATCTTGTAATATAAAATGAGGATTAAGATTTTTTCCTAAGACTGTACACCAGAAACCATGACATGGAGGACTGGCAGCTACAGTAGCTCATTTCTTTACCTCCTTTCAAAGTGAAGATTTTTTCCTAGTGAGTCACTAAACTTTCAAAAACAACTTCAAAGAAGTTTATATTTACTAAGGAAAATTACATCTATAAAAAAAGGGAGATTCAGTAATAAAAAAAGAGCTATTCTTCTTTTGAAGGCTGATGACTGGCAAAAGGCAGAATTTGGGAATATGGAAATTTTTCCTGGATACATTTTAATTTAAAATTGGTAGCAGTCTAAAAAAAAAATGTTAAAAAAACCCACAACAAATAGAGACATCACAGTTTAATAATTCAGTCTTCTTTCTTTAACCGAAAGTAACAGAGGCAAGGCCAATGAGTATGAAAGAGCAGCCTAGAAACGTTCAAGGGTCAAAGTTGTCTTTATTAATTAACAGACTTTCCCTCTGCAAGCACTGTAACATGATTTTGTATTGCATATACTAAGTAGCATTGAAACATGAGAATTTTGCTGCTTTATGTTGTAGTCCTGCTACACAAACTTTATTAAAAAATGATTGAGGTAATCATCTTTATAACTAGCCCCAACTCAAGGCAGTTTTGAAGTTAAGGTGAGGAGGAAATGACCAATTCTGGAAGACCTGTAAAATGTATGTGCCTAAATTCTAAAAGGCATAGCACTGTATGAGGCAAACAGATCTATTAGCATGGAGATTTTTAAAACGATTAGTAATTTGACTTTACAAGACCCGTTAGGCTGATGTTTATCCATATCTGCAACCACACAGCTGCCCACTATGAAAACAAACATCACGGCTTCTTACTTTTTGTCAGTTGCTCTCATTCTTACTTATTCCAAGTAGTTCCTAATGTCGGTGGCTCAATTAACATCCAGTACCATAAAAACGTGATGTGAACAAGATCTCATACCTTATGTTAAGGAACCGAAGACAAAAAGCCCACACTGCATTAAAACATGCAATTTATTTCTATATATGCATGTCTAATCTCTTGTACTACTCTTCCATAAACTGGCAATGTGTACTTAAATTTTAACAGAAATTTATTTTTCATTATGTTTCCCTACTTTCACTTTATTACCCAGTTGAGTGCATATGAGTCTGGAGTCATCTTCTTAGTATCAAGAAAGGAGCAGAGTTCAGGCTCATGGTACTGAAGAAGAAGTCTAAATAGATGAAATGGTCTTCCCTTCATAAAACAATCCCTAAAAAGTAGCAGTAAAAATAATCATAAACTCCCCATAATATTCCAGTTGTCAGACTTACAGTAACAATTCTTTATTAGTGTGATTATGTAATTGCCTATATTGTTCTTTTAATTCACAGGATCCGATTATGAAGTCAGCTTGCCTCAATAGTTAAAAAAAACCAACCACACACAAAACAACAAAATCCCCATAAACACTGAAAACCCCACTATATTAATAAGGCAAGAGAAAGAACAAAATACTGCCAATACTTGATAAAGTATATAATACAGAAGTGTTTAAAACAGATTTAAATATCAAAACAAGGCTAGCATGATATCAATGTCGTTAACTAAAAATAGAATTTTAAAAGTATAAATAATTCTAATATGGCACCCAAAGGAAAATTAAAATACACTTACTTCAGACATGAATAACAATTAAATGTCAATTCATCAAGCAGGAATTAAAGGGGAATTTAAAATGAAGAAAGAGTTCTTTGAAGACATTAGGAGCAAGTCTCGTGTTTAAAAACTTAGGTAAACTTACATGAAACTTGACACACAGCTCTCCAAACACAATTATCAACCTAACTTTCTTAAACAAGGGTATGTCCATGGTGGTGAAATGGAAACATTTCACAAATTATACATGGGGATTCTTTTTTCAAATTGTCACAAGAACTCTGACTTTCCATTAACAGGATAAAAAGTGTGAAGAGAAGAAAAATATTCTATTAATGAATTTAGCTAAGAATCTAGACTTGCAAATTACTTTGTTTGAATGGTTAATATGGTCAATTATTCCAGTCAGTCAGTCATTCTTTACCACCCTGTAACACTAAGAATGGATATATACCCAACAATAACTTTAAAAAGAATCTTTCCACATTTCTACTGACAGTGGCACAACCTTGTTTAGACATTTTTCTTAACTGTTTTTCTCAGTAATTTTTTACTTCTGGTACCTGTGGTAGTAATCAACCCTTGTTAAATAGCCAGTTTAGATAAAAACCCAACCAAACAAAACCCAACCAACCAACCAACCACCCATCACCACATCCCCAAAACAATAAAATCCCCACTTATCAAGAATTGTGAATTCCTGTACCTATCCACTACTTCCTAGGCTAGAAGCCCCATGGAAGCAGCAGGCTCAGCCATTGGAAGGACTGGCAAAAAACAAAAGCAAAGCAAAAATAATTAAAAGAAAGGTTTAGCTAAACAGAAATAAATTGCCCTGGAAACAAACCTACATTTTGTTTTAGAAAAGGATGGTTTGTTGTTGGGGTTTTTTTGTTTGGTTGGTTGTTTTTTTCCTTTGGTTTTTTTTTTTTTTTGTTTTGTTTTTTTTTGTTTTAACGAAAAAAGGAGCTATTTTCTACCTTCTGTTAGAGGTAACACTGATGTGATGTAAGCAGATGTAATTCACTTTCCTCATGTGGTCCCTGGGATGAGACACACTTCCATTATCCACTTCCAGCTTTTTAATTAGTTTACTACCTTGCAAGCTCTCACACAAATCACTGTATATCTAAGATGGTGCTTTCTTCTATTTATGGCCCAAAGAAAGAATACTAATGACCTAGGACCTCCACATTAGCTTTTTGTTAATTTTGTATAGTTCAGAAAACTCACCATTTTAGAAGAAAGGCAGGAGGAAATGAAAGATAGGTATCCACAGGATACTTTATACCAAAAATCTTGAGCAACAGTGTTTCCAAGGAAAAAAGATCAAAACCTCCCTCATCTAAAATAGCCTATTGTGATTTTTTTTTCCCCCCTCATTCTTCCTTTGGCTTGCTAGAGATGCTCTTTCAAACAAAACCAACAAGATATAATGCAGTCCAAAAGATTATGTTGTACATTTCCCTCTCCTGTTGTCAATATTTTGTTAGAATAAAATCCCAATAAATATTTCATGATAGATGCAAAACATGAGAAAATTTAAATAAAAAGTGTATGATTTAAAAGACAAAAATAGCAAAAAAAAGTTAAAAATAAAACTTTTATCAAATAGTAATAATGGTCCAGCAGTCAAACGTCAAATCAAGACCAAATTGACCTAAGTTGAGATTTGAAAGTCTACTATAAATTGCCTTTCTACGCCTTTCACTCTCCCATTGGAAAAAAAAGGAGGGGGAGAGGAAAGATAAAACCATCGACATCTCATCAAAACACCACATAGGTTCTTACAGAGGAACTCAAATACTACAAATACTAGACACTCTGAAAGCCTTCTGTGGCTGAAAGTACATCAGTTATGTGACTGTAATGCCACTACCCGCAACATTTCACAGAGACCAACAGTATTTTAAATCAGCAACAGACACAAGCTGAGTCAAGTGACAGGACCAATAAATGTTTCCTGCCACAACACCAAACATGCACTTTTCATATTATGGACACAGCAGCTGGGCCAGAAACTCCTCTCCAGGGAATCAGACTAAGAACTTTGATTACAACCTATCCATATATTATCTCACAAGGTCTTAATCGGAAGACCCTGTAGCCTTGCTGGAGTGTTATGGTGCTACTCCAACATAAATAAAAAAATATCTTAGTAAGACCACCTATATAACAGCATGAAAAGCTCCAATTTAATATTTTTTATTTTAAAAAAGTATCTAACAATTTAAAAGAAAAATAATTTCAGTCCCAACTCAGCAGAATACAGGGAAAATATCAACTACTTCTAAAGAGATTTTGAGACTTAATTAGTGCTTATGAAGGACTTTGAAGTGACAGGTATAGAAGCATTTTAGATATAAAAAAATGTGAGGAAAGGAAAGAAAAAATGCTTTCACATGACATATGTGAATTAGATAGTTCCTAAACAAATATTTTTGATACTGCATGAAATGACAGATGCTCTTTAAAAGACACAGAGTCTACATCAGTCACATGCTAACTCTTTACATCTTAAACCAACTCGATCATCTCCTGGACTTCAAACCAACAGGTATTGAAAGATGGTTCAATTTATTATCATATGAAGGAATCTGACAACTTCGCTACAAACAGTGCTACTCTTGCTGAAACCAACTTGCACATCCTTTCAGAAAATAATTTAATGCCAATAAAAATAGTGCACTGGCAAAAGAAAGAGTTTTACCTTGGAATGAATTTATTCATGATAGCATAAAAGCAGTTGTACAAATCGCTGCGTGGCAAACGAAGGTGCACCAGAGGTTTGAGTAGATGTATCCAGCCAAGGTAAGAAGTGTATTTAACATTGCGTGATTTACAATAAAAAGTAATAACAGACTCAATATCCAGAAGTAATACTGACTTCTCCTCTTCTGGTGCTGACAACAGGTCTGAAATAGGTACAGCGATGTAAAACGTATTAACGGTCTTTCAAAGAAATTGCACGAGATTATTTCATAGTACAATTGCACCAATAGGGACTGCTAAAAAAAACAAAAACAACAAAAAGTGACAAACGAAAAGCTAGCAGCTTGCATTAAATGTTTACAGAAATGTATTTTGATGCTTTTTTGGATACAAGTTATTTTATAACCCCAGTAGGATAAGGCATTTAAATATAATTTAAATATCACAACAGGATTAAAGAAGTTTGGGTTTTCCAGGATCTGTAGGAAACAAAGAGGTAGATTCTTTTAATGCACAGAATGCCCCTCTTCCATTCCTATTTGATATGCTCAGCACATAACTTATGCTGAACTCCACAACAAATTTATCTGAATTTCAACACAGATCAACCCACAATGCATACCTCCAATTCCTCAGAAGCCCTCTGAGTTTATGAAAATCAGTAGTTTGAAATCAGCTAGGTGTACAGACTTAAATTTTAGTATTAACATATAAATCATATTTTTAATCTCTACTTCAAAATAATTTTCCTAACAGAAAAGCTATCATTTACAAGCTAATACTTTAAACTTCCATGACATCACCCATCTCAGAGTCAGAGTACAGATAAGATACTACTGTCTTCTTACAAGTTCTTTCTGATTTTCTTTGCCCTCTCATCTTCCTCCTCAAAGGTTCCTCCAAAATGTAAACATCATTCAGGTTACTTAATTCAAATAACAAAGCCCTAAGACAACTGAGAGCACAGAATTTTTCACATAGGTTATCTAAACATAACTGAACTTACCAATTAGCTCTTGGCAATCCGTATGAATTATACTCTGTTCTGGTAGGTCTAAAGAGCCATCCCAGGATGCTAGGCTGTCCCCCTTTCCTACAACATTAAGTGCAATCTGAAAACAAAAATAGAAAACCCTCTAACATTTTAGTATCCTTTTGTAGTTACACAATTATTGAGCTCAATGAAGAGGACTATCCTAAAACTGAATCAGCATACATGCATATTAAAAATACAGTACTACAGCTCTTCTGTATAGATGCCTGGTAATTAAATCATTTACCTCAAATCAAGTACAACTTCAAGCATTTCCTGCTTCTCAATTTAAGCTCATATTTACCTTCCAGACTTTGGGCCTCAGATCAGCAGGCAATTGCCTTCCTTGAATGATGTTTCTCACAGTTTCAAGATCACAGCCTCCTTCTTCTAGAGCATCTGCAAGATCTTTTTCCCTACAATAATGACACATATGTTTATTAAAAACAAATTATACAATATTTTCCAATGTTTATCTATTAAATAGATGTAGACTGGAGGCAACTGTCAGGCAAAACCCACACATATATAAAGATACATTATAAGACAATTTGCCAATTACTGAAAATAAATATTTGCGAAATGTTATTTCTTCCTTTATTTTGAAGGCTGCTTGTTCAACTTCTAATTCGATTTAATTTACATATGAGGAAACCAGAAGTTCAGAGCATTTTTTGTTTGCTTTAATGATGTGGCAATGTTGCAAAATGTATCATAAAAATGCAAATTTAGTTGTCATTTACAACTTAAGAGATACACGGCAAATTTTCACATATATACACAATGCATTCAAAGCAAACACCATACTTAAATGAGATGACAGAGTTCTTTTAAATGAAACACTACATGACCAAGAAAACAGAAAATTTATTTCAAAGGTTTAGAACAGTAAGCTTTTAACCCCATCTTTCCCTGAAATGGGAAAGGATCTTTCAGTCAAACTCAGGTTTTAACTATAAAGCTCTAGTACCATTAAGTGTAGACATGTGCATAAAACTGAATTTTAAAACATACAAAAGTGTTAATAATAGTGTAGCAAGTAGCAAAATACACAAATTCACAAGACAGTCAAACAGTAATGACACTTCAAGTTGCCACAGTAAGACAACAAAAGTTTGTAAGCATTCCAGGTAGGAAGATACGCATTCAGAAATTATTACTTTACAATCTCTCTGATAACTTCTGCAGACTGTTTCAACGATTCCATGCCGTCAACAGTAACAGAATCATGTCTGATGATTTCACGAATTTCAATACTATGTAGCACAGCAATGGCAAAACACCAGGTTCACTGGAAAAATAGCACTGGCAGTGATACATAGGTCCTGTAGGCAAAACTCCCTTACTCTGTCCTCTTAACTGTTCTCTACTAGCTCTGACATATGCCTTAAGACAGGCTTTGCTTCATATACCTGAGGAGTTAAACACACAGCCGAGAAGTTTATAGCCAGAGCAAAACATGGAATGTGATTGTTATTTCAGGACAGATATTCAAGCGTGAAGACGCATTCCTTGTGAACACCACATCTATTTATACATGTGTAATAACAGATGTTGGAAGTGTTATCAGTACAATTCTCAATTAATCCACATTACATACTACGTAGTCATTTCCAAATACCCATGGAAAAAGAATGTCAGCTGTTGAGCTCTGTCTACTACTTTAATTTGCCTATATCCACAACTAATTCCTTGATATAAAGCTTCTCAAGTTTGGTCTTCTGAAAGCTGAACACAAATTTCTGATTTTCTAAATATTAACCTTTTTGATAAACAGATTAAAAATCTCAATCCTGTAAGAATGTATGCATATACTTAACAATAAGCAATGAGCTAGCTTTACTTAAGACTTCTCAAAGTATTTACCAATTTGCAGAGCAAGCATTTTCCTTGCATTGTATCAACCAGTTTCTTTGCCAGTACTTTTTGGTAGCATTTTAAATCATACTTCAAATGTATACTGGGGCACAACTAATAGCCTGTTTTCTTCAAGTAATTTTGCAAATTTGAATGAAAGAAAGTACAGTTTACAAAGAGACTGACTTGACTCGTTTTCTTATATTTTTAGAATTAAAAAAAAAAAAAATCCCAAGGCCCACTTCTTATAGAACTACAGGCTGCATGGGTGAATATTCCTTTCCCAAGACAGAAATGGGGGTGGAAAAAATATACAAGCAAATTTGCACATTGATCACCTATTCTTTTGTCCAACTGTGCACTTAACAATCAATGCTGTAAAAATTAAATCACCACATCAGTTCACCCTGAATAAAAAAATCAAGCATTTCCAGGACATTTACACAACGAGACCCAGCATTCAGCAGAACTGTATGAACTCTGTGATGATCTAACTTCAACAGAAGCCAATATCAAACATCAGCTGAAGAGAGCTAGGTGCTCTTTGATATATTGCAGGCTTCTGTGCACACTCTGTATGACAGACTAGAGAGCAACAGCTCGAATTGTACAACCAGTTGCTACAAATATTATCCAAATATTAAAGAGGCACATGGAAATGAATGCATCAGCTGCATGTACATTGTATTTCAGGTGGAAAGGTCTTAAATTGCAATACTTAATTTTGGTTTCTATGTCCTACAAAGACAATCATTTGGGGAACAAAAAAAGTCATTTACTATATGTGAAACAACACTTAAAAACACATCTACACAAATTACAAAAACACACCTGGCAAAGAATGTTTCACAAACCCATGAGTACTAATTCTACCAGTTACTCATACCTAATATTCACAGCTTAAAAAACTGTGCATGGGTTAACACCAAGACCAACTTCAACGTATTACCTGCAAATGTGTGCCGCCTCTGCTTGTTGGATAATATATTACTATTTTCAAAATCTTCTTCATAAATAGTCATCCACACTTTGTACACTGTGAAGCTGACAGGCAAATACTAGCTCTACTACTTCACTTTAAAAAATAAGAATCTGATATGCCCATCTCCCACATGAAGAGATGTAATGCGTTATCACATCGAGTTACATGAAGTAACAGCAAGGGGGGAAAAACTGCGTTGTTCTATTCATGATTTAATTAGCTATTCTTTTCCTCCATCAACTCCTAAGACTGTTCACAGGCTAGAAGTGTAGACTTCTCAAAGATTAAGAAAAATTATTTTCTAATAAATACTCTAACAAGTAACTCCAACTTCATGCTAACTTGCAAAGTACCATGAAAGAGATTTTGATACTTCAACACATGTCCACCAGCTATGTTTTACCTTATTTCAGTCTGAGCTATAAATGTTGCAGGAAACTGATAGAAATCTGGATCCTTGTCTTTCATGAGTGAAGATCTGCTAGGAAGTCTTGTATTCATATGGACAACAACTATTACACTTTGGAAAGAATGCAGCACTTCTCTTTATAGGCAAACTCTTCCAGACCTTAACATTCTTTTTTTCTGCTCTACCATGCCTTTGCTGCCTAATTCTATCACAAAATCATTAAGGCTGGAAAAGACCT